CAAGTGGGCAGTGGAACTAGGGGAGTTCGACATTTAGTACCAGCCAAGGACAACCATCAAAGCACAAGCATTGGCGGTCTTTATTGCTGAGCTTACGCCAATAGAGGAGAAGGTCAATGAGTTTTCCACACTTCAGAGCCTGGACACGCGAAGTGATCAAATATCCGGCGAGAACACCCAAATGCTCGACGAGGGAACCCAGATACTCAACGAGAATAATTAGGCAACCGAACCAAGTGCCCAGGATAACACAAGTGTCTAAGCGCCCAGGCGTCCAGGCGTGGCACCCAGGCCCCTCCTGGTACCCAGCCTAATGCTCAGGCTCCTTCTGGCGCCGAAATCTCCACCCCTGGCGCCCAGCTTGGCACCCAAGCCCTTCCTGGTACTCTAATCTCCTCTCCAGGTGCCCAGCCTTCCTCTTTGGGCGCCCAAGCACTCCTAGGCGCCCAGCTTGGCATCCAGACTCCCACTTTTCTCTCCAAGCCCTCCTCTCTATCACTCTGGAAGTTCTATGTAGATGGCTCTTCAACTAGTGGGGGAGNCTCTTCACCTCAGGTGGCCAGCCTTCCTCTTTGGGCGCCCAAGCACTCCTAGGCGCCCAGCTTGGCATCCAGACTCCCACTTTTCTCTCCAAGCCCTCCTCTCTATCACTCTGGAAGTTCTATGTAGATGGCTCTTCAACTAGTGGGGGAGGAAGAGCAGGGTTGATCTTGATCAGCCCCGACGGTACTCCTCTCCACCATGCAGTGAAGCTCCACTTTACAACTTCCAACAATAAGGCAGAATACGAAGCCCTCCTCTCTGGATTAAGATTGACAGTTGAAATGGAAGTACAACACCTGGTCACTTACAGTGATTCTCAACTGATTGTAAATCAAGTAAAGGGCGAGTTCGAGGCAAAAGGAGCCAGAATGCAGGAATACCTTGGCATGGTAACAAGCTTGATCACGAAATTCCAGTACTTCCAGATCTGTCACATCCCAAGAGAAGACAACATGGCCGCTGATGCAGTCACCAAACTCGCCTCATCCTTGGAAGCCCCACCAGAAGGACCAATATTCATTGGTCACCAGTTCGGACCAAGAAAGTTAGCCATGGACGCCATAAACGTCAACTGCGCATCGGCCGAGTCAAACTGGATGATCCCGATAAGGGACTACCTCCAAGCAGGTGTGTTGCCAAAGGACCCTCTACAGGCCAGGAAGATCTGGATACAAGCCTCCAAGTTCACTGTCTTACACGGCACCCTGTACAAGAGAGGCTACTCCTTGCCATTACTAAGATGCCTCTCACTTGAAGAAGCCGACTATGCCATGCGGGAAATCCATGAAGGTATTTGTGGAAATCACTCTGGTGGACGCTTCCTCGCCCACAAGGCGCTCAGACAAGGCTACTTCTGGCCTAGCATGATGAGAGACGCTCAGGAATTCGCCAAGAAGTGTGACAAGTGTCAACGCTTCGTCACTGTGACCAGGTAGCCACTAGAGGAACTCACAGTTATCACAAGTCCATGACCTTTCTCCAAATGGGGCATTGACTCTTGGGCCCCTACCTCTTAGTCGAGGCCAATGCAAGTTCGTGGTGGTAGCGGTGGACTACTTCATTAAATGGGCGGAGGTAGAATCCCTAGCAAAGATAACAGACGCAAAGGTCAAATATTTCATTTGGAAAAACCTGGTCTGTCGCTTCGGGATACCCCGTGCCATCGTCAGCGACAACGCTAAACAGTTTGACAACAAGCTCCTAAACTCTTTTTACTCTGACTTTAAAATAAAGCAACCTCATTTAAGCCCGGCGCACCCACAAGCAAATGGACAAGTAGAAGTTATGGTGAGAACGGTGCTTCACAATCTCAAGACAAGGCTCGAAAGGGCGAAGGGTCTTTGGGTTAACGAGCTCCCAGAAGTATTATGGGCCTACCGCACCACACCGAGAGCTCCAACTAGAGAAACTCCCTTCTCACTCGCCTTTGGAACTGAGGCGGTCATTCCTGTGGAAATCGGGGTGCATTCCTTGAGGGTCCAACACCACAACCCCTATACCAACGAGGAAGAACTTCGTATCAACCTCGACTTGGTAGAGGAGGCAAGGAAAATGGCTGTGGTCCGCAACGCGGAGTACAAGCGTCGAATGACAAAGTATTACAACTCAAGGGTGAAGTCTCGTTCCTTCCAGCCATGAGATTGGGTCCTCAAGAAAGTGATCCTCGCCACAAAGGATTCACGCGAAGGAAAGCTAGGACCAAATTGGGAAGGACCCTACCTCATAACAGAAGTGGTGAGGCCAGACACCTACAAGATCCAGAATTCTGAGGAGAAGGTCTTACCTCATCCATGGAATGCGGAGCACTTGAAGAGGTACTACCAATGGCACCTTGAGAGTAGAAACGTTGGAGACTTGGTGAAATTTTTGTGGAGCTATTGCTTTTTATGAGCAGAAAAATGAATAAAATTCTAGAGATTTACTTCTAAAAAATCTTTGCCTTTTCATATTCAACATCTCAACTTCAAAGTGGCATCAATGGCAAAAAACCACTTTTACAAAAATTGGACCACAAAATGATTTCCTAATTTCCTAAAAACAAAAATTAAAATCAAAAAGTCCCTAGCACTCTAACTACTCTCATGGTCGTCATCCCCCTCCTCCTCGTCATCATCATTCTCAACATCGTTAGAGCTCCCATCACTATCCTCAGGTGCCTCAGTTGGCAAGAAGCCTGAGACATCAATGTCGGGGAAGGCGGCAAAAATATTTCCCCGGAGCTCCTCATAACCATCAATGAAAGCATCTAGAATGTCATTCTCTAGGTCTGCCTCAACCCGAGAAGCTCTTTCTTGAGCAGCCTTTACCTCTGCCTCAAGGGCAGCCTCTCTGAGCATGGCCTTCTCGCGGGTCTTTTCAAGCTCAGCCTTACTGAGCGTAGCCCTCTCACGGACCTCCGCAAGCTTAGTCTCGAGCGTGGCCGCCCTCCCATGGGCCATCGAAAGCTCAGCCTCACTGAGTTTGGCTCTCTCACGGACCTCCACAAGCTTAGTCTCGAGCGTGGGTGCCCTTCCATGGGCCATTGAAAGCTCAGCCTCACTGAGCGTGGCCCTCTCACAGACCTCAGCAAGCTCAACCTTGAGCCTGACCATCCTCCTATGGATTGCCGAAAGCTCAGCCTCAAGACCAGTCGCCCTCTTACGAGATGCCACAAGGTCAGCATCATAAATCCTGCCAGCACCTTCAAACTCGGTTATCTTCTCTTGAGCAGCACGAAGATCATTTTGCACAACTTCATTATCATGCTTTAGCTTGTGATAAAGAAGGGTCCTTGATAATAAACACATAGATGCTGATGAAGCCTGGTGAAAAACAGAAGGCAAAAGAAGGTCAGACATTTATGGAAGGGAGAAATGAGAGAAAATAAACTCTTACCTGAGCCCAGCCTTCAAGGAAAGAGCTAAGAATTCCCTCCGTACCCAAGGCTCCAATCTCAACCACATCCTTCTTGCAAAAAAATAACCCAAGCCGATCCTTGATGACCGATGCATTGCCTAGCATGGAACAAATCTGAGAAAGTACTCCGCCAGGGTTCCCCATAGGATGGGTGGCTGAACGGGGGGTAAAAGGTGTGGCCAGTAAGCGAGACTCTATTGTGGAAGGTCCAATTGAGGGAGTCTTCAACTGAGGAGACGCCTCTGGAGGAGCCACTTTATGGGAGAATGCCCAAGGTACCACTTAAGGAGCTGGTAGTGAAGAGCACGCCTCAGGCGGTAAGGTCACTTGGGAGGCATTGCGCGTCATCAACTTAGAAGTTTTCTTCACCACCTTAGAAGAAGGAGAACTCCTATCAGAGAGGCGAGATCCGAGCTTCTCCCTGTCTATAGCTGCAAAGCAAATAAAATGTTACCTAGATGGCAAACACCAAGTAAAAGAGAAAGCTGCAAAGGAACTAACTCACTTTTCCTTTTCGAAGAAGAGCCACCAGACCTCAGGGTAGCACCACCATCTTTGGACATAAGGACTCCAAAATCTTTTTCAGGATAAACTCTCAACGCCTCCAGTTTCCACTCTTGGCCCGGAGAAAGCACAGGGGGATCTGCAAGAGGAATGATGAGTAAAAAAAGAAAAAAGAGAGAAAGTGTGTGGTGTACCAAGTTTCTTAGGGGTACCCCATCCTCTTGGTACCAAAGTCCTATTTGCCTCTACAGCCCACTCTCCACCGATAAATATAAAGCGAGATTTCCAACTATGACAGTTGGACCGCAGTCCGGTGATCAACTTGTCTTTTGTGGTAAAATAATACCAGCCCCGATTGGAAGCAGGGGTCTTGCTCAAAGTATAAGCACCATGAAATTACTTAGGTGAGGCATCCTCATGATGCACTTTTCTCCACAACACCAGGAAGCTCAACAAAACCCTCCAAACCGTTGGGTGACAGTCACCCCGGGGTGAGTGAAAAATAATGGAGAATGCGGCAAATAGAATGAGACATGGGAAACCTGAGTCCAGCGTCAAGCATCTCTTCATAAACAACAATATCACTCGACGAGTTGTCAGAAGCAAGCTCACTCACCTCAGCTCGGCGACACAGCACAGTCGGAGGAATATGATAAACAAAAATAATCCTCAAGAGCTCATCACCAGTATTGAGAATGCTAGAAAGGGTACTCACCTTGGTCCATCATCAATTATTTTGCTTCTATGTTTTTTCTTATGGGAACGTGAGAAGTTACCTGAACCATCGTCAGGGAGGTCTTGAGTAATCTGACTTTGCGAAAATCCACCAAAAGGAACCATCATGTGCGTCCCAACCGCATAGCCAGGCAGAACGCCCAGTCTGTCTGCGCGCCCAGGCTGTCCGCGCACCCAGGCAGCACACCCAGGCTGTCCGGTCACCCAGGCGGCTCGCCTAGGGTATCCGCGCACCTAGGGAGCACGCCCAGATCAGTGCCCTCCACGCCCAGCTCACCATGCTCGCCCATATGGGCGCCCAACACTCTCTCCTACTCGCTTACCACGTGGGCTGCACACCTCCTTGCGTGATCAGTAAAGGCGCCCAGCGCCTGGACAGCAGCGGCGCCAAGCGCCTGCGACGTCCCAAATATCTCCACGCCGGCGTCTACCTCATCCTCTATCTCTCCTTGGATCACTGCAACAACCCCATGATGATTACTTCCTTCATTCGCCATGGATTCCTAACACAATTCCTTGGAGGATTCTTGGAGATAAAAACCCTTTTTTCACTTTCTCAAGTTTCAATGGAATGAGTGAAGTGGAGATAGCTGCTATTTATACATAGGGTTTTTTGAAAACAAGGAAAAGGCACAAAGGCTCCATTCAAAACCAAGGGCTTTTCTGGCAAAAAAAAAAATCGGATTTAAAAGGGGGTGTACGCTATTTTGACTGTAACTTTTGATCCATAACTCTAAACGGGGCCCATAATATGTCAAATCGATGCTCTCAATGAGCTCTACAAAATTTATTACCAGCAGCAACGAACGACGACAAAAAAACCACAAAAAAGACCTATAAGTATATGTTTTGGCCTTCCAAAGTTTTTCCAATTTTGCCGTTCGGCCAAAAATTCAAACTCAACCGAATGCCCACCTTTCTAAGTTCCTTGAATGCAGGGCATTGAAGGGCAAATGATGGGCCAGGCCCAACCCATGTTATAAGCCTAGTCCGATCTAAAGGCTCAATTCTAAGAGATCCGGATAATCAAGCCCAAAGGAGTTTATATCCGGATAACCTGATTAAGATTAAGAAGCTACATCAGCAGGGGAGCATACACAGTCATCTAAGAGCCTAATGGTCATCCATGAGCCTCACCCTAATCACCAAGGGAGCACCCAAGAGCCTCACCCTCGTAGCCCGGAGAGAATCAACCTCCCTCATCCTTGATCAAGTCCTTGGGAGAGCACATCAACCATCACACCTCGCCTGTTGAGAAGATAATAGGTCGCCTCCACTGGATCAGCTACCTAATTACTATCAAACAGTCTTAAGCCATAATGACCGTCAAAATAGCAATTCAATTACTATACCAAGCTACTATAAAATGTAAGCCCCTCTAACACTTGGGGGGCATCAGACTTATTCGAGCGTAACTTTCTCTCTTCTCTCAAAGCTTGCAACCTTCTACCCCTAACACACCGGAGTTAATAAAATTAGCGGCAAACTTTGCCATTCAAAGTGGACGTAGGCTACGGCCGAACCAATATAACCTTGTCTTCTTTCTCCCTCTATTTTGCTTAATTTTATATTGTTTAATTGACTAGTGGTGTGCAAATTGATTTTGTGCACCATCAAATATAATTTCAAATTTGTTATTTTCTTCTTTTCTCATTTAAATCTTTGTAGTTAAACCTTAACCCCGATGGTTATTGTGGAAGAATTGGACTAAGTATTGGGGATCAATTATTTTATGGGTCCTATGAATACTAGAGTTTTTGCTTTTGTATTTGCTAATCTATTCGAGCACTTGTAAAGTAGGAGTTTCCGAATTACCTAAATCTAGAAACATTAGTGATATTCTTCTACTATTTTCATTGAATTGTCCTAGGTTGTGGTTCTTGGGTGAACTTTTGATCTTGGTTTTGGTTATTAACTCTTTTGATTTTTGTTTTAACGTTGAAGAATGTGAACAAATTAATTCATAATGGACACCTAAAAAACATTTCTAACACTATTTTAAGCACTTGTCTATGAAGATTGACAAAGACATTTACCTTTCATATGCTTGATTATTATTATGTTTCATTACTTTATATTGATATTTTTATGATTTTGGTTTGGTCTATTAATAATTTCTATGATCTATTTTATTTTTAAGCATAAAAACTAGATTGAGTGTGTTATATTGATGTTTTTTTTTTTTTGAGTTTGGCATATATGATTAGGCATTTAGCAATGATGGTGAGTATGTCGAAATTGACGAATGATGAGCATGCTTCCTGTGCATTCATTTCAACATTCCTCTATGGGCAGCTTCATATAAATAATCCATAGATCAAATTTTTTTCTAAAAAGTCGTTCTTGGCCTTTAATTGCATAATTTATTTTGCATATTTGCAGAATACAATTTGTTTCAAACTTGTTAAATTGTTTAAATTAATGGTTTTTACATTTCTTGGAATTTCTTGCCAAACAAAATGGGTGCATTAGATTTAGGATTGTGAAGCTAAAATTGTGTTATCGTCACAATTTTTACAGACAAGGTTCTTAATTTTTATGAGTTTATACACCAAATACCTACGAGCAACAATCTCCATAATCATTATTTTAAACCAAAGTTTTATTACATTCTTTGCTAAACAACCATTACATTATGTGTGTGTGTGTGTGTGTACACACACACTGCTAAAACAAATTAACAAAAAGATTATGTTGCATATAGTGTTGGAAAAGTGGGAATTGACTAATTCTTCAATTAACTAAAAGTAATGATGAGTTTAAACATCTCTCAAGATTGCAAGTTTTAGATATGTGCCTCTATTAATTCCTTTGTACTAAAATAATATCTATTTATCAAGAAATGATCATATCCACTCTTATTCCAAATATGCGGAAAAGATAAAGAATTACTTGAAATACATGTGTTTTAAGTGTAAAAAGACTCACAAGAGTTGGTTTTCTACTGATATGGAAAACATAGTTGATTAATTGTTCTTGAAAGTAATGCACAACTTCAATACATAAATATTTTATCCTCAAAACAGTTCACATGTAATGCATATGTGCACTCACCAGTACACTAAAATATACACACACGTACCCCACACATACTATAACACTAAAATGCACACACATCCTAATGCATTAAAACAAATACACTAAAACATGACTAAGACACACATACACACATAGAGATGTGAAGTTGGACATATAGTGTAGCCTGGATGGATACGTACTGAAATAGCTCTTCAATCTTATAGACTCTCCTTGGTCAAGTGAATGCAAATGTAATTGGAAATTGTTACACCCATTTGGAAGTAAGTTGTACTATGTTGAAATGAGAATGCTTTGATTGAAGTTCAATACATCAAAAGCAAGATGGTTACTAAAATATTAGTTTATGTCCTGAGCCTCTTTGTTGATTTTTTGACTGAAAATTTTCTTGCCCACAGTAGAAGAAAATGTGAAAAGTGAAAGGAAACGAAGGAATATAAGCTCTGTCACTATTAGTTATGCTCTGTTTGGTAGAAAGAATGGAAAGTAAGATACGTTTTTTATCCTTCAAAGAAGGAAAGTAGGAATAATACATTTTCCTTCCTGTGTGTTTAGTAGGATGGATGAAAAATAAAAATAATTAATTATTTTTTATGTTTAGAAAGATGGAAAAATATTTTTTTATTTTTTATTATTTATTTTTAAAAAAAAGTATATAAATACATATTTTATCACTATATTTATATATTTATGAAATTAATATATACATAATATATGTATATATCAAAGGATATACTACTACAAGAAAAGAGGTTTTTTGTATCAGCAATTTGCCGACTCAAAAGATCACATTGCCATCGGCAAATAGTATTTACGACAGCAACGTGATCTTTTGAGTCAACAAATTGGGGGTGGCAAGCAATAGGCGTTGTAAAAGATTTTGCATCAGCAAGTAACCGTCATAAAATTTTTTGCATCGGCAATTAACCTTCATAAAAGTTTTTGCATCGGCAAAACCCGATGCAAATGCGCCGTCGCAAAAAAATCATAGATCCGACCTTTTTTATTTGCATTAGAAATTTTTCGTCGCAAAAAATCCATATGTGATGGTTTAAATTCGTTGGAAAAGGTATTATTAGCCACAGTTGGGGACCATCGCAAAAAATCCCATTCGCAGCAGTTAAAATCTGTCACAAAAAGATATTATTAGCCACAGTACGAAACGGTCGCAGCAAACTCATTTACAACGGTTTTAATCCGTCGCAAAAGATATTATTAGCCATAATAAGGGACAGTCTCAACAAACCCATTTCCAACAGCTTTTAACCATCGCAAAAGATATTATTCACCTTGGCAGAAGGCTAACGCAAAAAAAATGATATTACTCTTTTGACGTTATTTGTGTCAAAAAACTTGTTTTCATAAATAATTTTTTTTAAAGAATCTAATTCTCTCTTTCACATGTTTCTCTACACTTGTGTACATATCCAATACATTACCCATAACATCATTTGATTACAATAATAAGACACATCTCTCAAATCAAAAGAATATAAATTTAAAAATAAAAATATATTAAGTACAAGTAAATAACATCCGAAATTTAAAAAAAAAAATATTCCAATCTACGTAATGAAAGTGTCAATGCATAATAAAAAAATTTAGTCTCTCAATGCACCATTTGCTCTGTAAACAGGCACAATGTGTACTCTCTACTCATGCGTCATCTACTCTCTGTGCTATCTACTCATTTGATAACACTTGCAAAAGATACGATTTGTGTTATTATTGTCAATATTATGTTTGGTTGCTAATTATATACATATTAATTAAGATAAAATATACATCACTAGACGGCCAGGCAACACTTTTTTCCACTGCCTGCCCAACAGGAATTACACTAAGAAAAGGTCTTATCAAATAAGTATTAGGCACTATTGCTTCCTCAACATATACGTTCGAAAAATCAGGTTCCAATGGTACTTTCTCTACTTCTTTCGATGGGTCCACACTAAGAAAGATCCCCTTTACCAGTACTTGCATTGGTAAATGGGAATTAAGCAGATCTACTTTTGTATGAACCTACAACCACAAGTGTTAACAACTTTTAGAAGTCAAAACCAATACAATTGAAAAAAAAAAATTACAATTGTAAATCAATGTATCACACAATGTCATACACTATGTTTACCATACACATGCACTTACCTCAGTATTGTTCAGACCTAGTGCATGCTTTCTCTTTTCTGCCCTAACAACATGTGTCTACCAAAAAAAAAAATGCAAGCAACACTTCATTTGTCAGTATAAATAGCAATGACAAAACTACATGAATTAGTATTCTAGATTTTAGTTGAATTCTCTCGTTGGGGATCGTATCGAGATAACTTAGTTTTCTACATTTTTCTATCACCGAAGAGTAGGTGTATGCCCATTTTCATGGAAAATGGATCAAGAAATCTCGAATGAATTCAAGGACATACTCGAAGAAATTCTGACCGCCGGTCGGAACGGTTTGTGG